GTGAGAAGCAGGGGGGTGAGGTGGGTGACTGGGCAGCTGTCCCCCACATGCTGATGGATGCCTGCAGCGACAGCATGCTGCTGGGGGACGCGTCCACTGCCAGAGGCCAGGCTCCACCAGGTGCTGATGGTGCGGAGGGGACGCTGCTGGATGTCTCAGAGAACCAGTTTCCTAAGCTGGGCAAACGGGGACTCATGGTCCTGTGGAATCTCCTCTTCGGCATGACTCACTTGACAAGGACTGGAACTTAGCAGGATGGTTTTTGGATGTTTCCTTAGCTGCTTGTTCCCTGTGATGCCCAGGCCACTTCTCTGCCCCAAGCAGGAAGGAAGGAATGTCCACAGCTCAGCTGGGTGCTTTGCAGGAACAATGCCATCTGTCCGAGCTGTGGAGAGAAACCGTCCCAGACACTTGCTCTGTTATGAGCAGCACGCATCTTTCACACATTGTTCCATAGTTTAATGATGGTCATGGTCATGGAAAACAGTCATTCAGAGACCCAAAAGATTGCCAAGGAGTGAAGCCTTAGGCTCATGGCTGTGGTACAACAATGCCCAGCTAGAGCAATCGCCCGGGAGGCGGCCCTGGCCAAGTGGCCCTCGGGCTGAGGGCACTGCCTGGCCGCAGTGCCCAGGCAGGAGTGAGTGCAGACGCCTGTGGGCAGGGCCGCGGCTCAGGCTGTGCTCGGTGTCCAAGGGTGCTCCCAGGGTGGGGGTGGCTCTGGAACGGTGCTCTTTCTTTTTTTAGGTTAATATCACACAACTGGAACGTAAGTAAGTGGATTCAGAAGAGCTCTTTGTAGTGAAACACAGGTGCCTGGACGGTCCTGCTACATCCAAATGTCCTTTTCCTTTCAAGGGAAAATATATTAAATGTGTGTGTATGAATGTGTGTGCATGTGTGCATGTGTGTATGTGTTCATGTACATGCATGTGTGTATGTGTATGTATGTGTGCATTGTCTCTGTGTGTCTGTATGTGTGTGCATGTGTGTATATGTGTATGGGTATATATGTGTGTATGTTCGTGGGTATATGTGTATGTGTTTGTGCATGTGTATATGTGTATATGTATGTGTTCGTGCATGTGTATATGCATGCATGTATGTATGTTTGCATATGGCTGTGTCTGTGCTTGTGTGTGTCTGTGTGTATGATTGTGTGTGCTGTATGTGTGTGTGCATGTGTGCATGTGTGTCTGCATGAGTATGTTTGTGTGCATATATATGTGTGTGTTTGTGTATGTANATGTGTCTGTGCCTGTGTGTGTTTGTGTGTATGATTGTGTGTGCTGTATGTGTGTGTGCATGTGTGCATGTGTGTCTGCATGAGTATGTTTGTGTGCATATATATGTGTGTGTTTGTGTATGTATGTGTTTGTGTATGGGTATGCATGTGCACGTGTGTGCATGTGTATGTGTACTTTGTGTGTCTATGTTTTTGTATGCATGTGTATGTGTACTTTGTGTGTCTATGTTTTTGTATGCATGTGTATGTGTATGAGTATGCTTGTATGTGCATGTGTGTATGTGTGTATATGTATGTGTTTATGAGTGCATGTATCGGGATGTGTGTGTGTATGCACATTTGTGTGTGAGTATGCATGTGCACGAGTTCATGTGCTCGTTTGTGCACACACATGTATGCATGTACATGTGCGTGCATGTGGGTGTTTGTGTGTGCATGTATGCATACCCATATATGTGCTTTGTGTGTGCATGTGTTTGCATGTGTGTACGTGTATTTGTGTATGTGTATGTGAATTTGTGTGTTTGTGTGAGTGTACGTGTGTGTGCATTTGTGTATGTGTATGCGTGTTTGCATGTCTGTATGTGTGTGCATGAGAGAGGGAGGAAGGGAGGACATGATGCACAAACCACTGATGTCCGAGACCATGGCCTGCTAGGTTTTCAGCTAATCAGACCATGATGGACAACTGCTTCCCTGGCTGATTTCAGGGGCAAGACGGAATTACATTCCCAGAAGCTCCCAGTGTCCATCTCTTGTAGAGATCCTTCCGTCATGGGCAGCAGGTGTGGTGTGTCCGGTGTCTAAGAAAACCGGTCTGTCTTGCTAATAGGCATTGAGCAAAATGGTGATTCTGCAGTCAGAGGTCAGAAAAATGTCAAGACTTGGGCCCCAGTGGGAGGGCACTGGGAGCTATCAGGGAGCCTGCTGCTTGTACCTTGGGCTGTGTGTCCGGACTCGCACTCTCTAGAAGACACCTGGCGGGTAGGTTCTGGCTTCTCTTTGGATGGGAGGAGAAAGAGTAGGGCGGGGCCCAAGGCCTCTGCTGGGCTCTGCCTGATAAAATGCTCTGATTGAAGGGACTTGCTGTTCCTGAAGTAGACGTGAGTTTCCATCCTGAGGCCACCAGCAAGCAGGAGGAGAAGGGAGTGACTGCCACCTGAAGCCTGCACTCTGAGTCCCAAGCTGGGAGGACTGGAAAAAGCAAAGTCTTATCCTGGCTGTTAAAATGCTTCCTTCGCTCCTGGAAAGGAGCAGGGGTTTACTGTGCCTTCCTAACCTCGGAAAGGCAAGCATGGGTGGGTCTTACCATCTCCCTGTGCCCGAGCTCACCGTAGGCTAAGGCCACCTGAGTCACTGCTTCCAGCGATCACCACATATAGAGCAGCAGTGGTTTCTGCCCCTCCCCAGGTTGGAGGGTCCAGAGTCCAAATGAGCTGCTCTCCTGAGCCATCACGGTCCCATCTGCTGGCCTGCAGAGTCCCCACCACTAGGCTACCAGTGGCCTTGGGGCTCAGACCGTGGCTCCCTCTGACTTGATAAGATATGGCCCAAGCCTCTGTGCCTGGCCGCACCTGTGTCAGGGCAGGTGACCCTCACCTGCATTGTGCAGAGTGCCAGTGCTGGAGACCCAGCTGTCTGCATTGCACACCACACCACCCACACTCTCCCAGGAGGGGAGGGCCAGGGGCAGTGGTGAGCCTGTCATTCCAATCTCTGCTCTGTCCTGTTTGCAGGGCTCACTATGGGAGTGTGAGGTCAGCCAACCCAGGTCTCCTCCAAACCTCTGCCCACCAGGGCCGGGCCAGGGCCAGGGCCAGGGCCAGGGGCCTCCAGTGGGCCTGGGGTGGGAGGAACTGGGGGTCAGGCCCAGAGTAGGCAGAAGAGAGATGACTACAGCCACGAGCACATGTGACAACTGCCCACACTGGCTTTTAAATTGCCACTTGGAATGAGGCTCCGTGTGCAGTGTCTGTGGTGTTTGCGAGTGTGTGTGCGTGTGTAACCTCTGTTACAAGGGGAGCTGATGGAATTCTTTCCCAGACTCCACAGGCCTGTGTGCTGTCTGCAGAGGAAGGGAGAGCTCACACCACACCCTCTTCACCCTGTTGGCTTTTCTGTCTTCTGTCAGCCATCTTCCGTTAGGGGACAGCATGGGCGGTCAGGCCCTCGCCAGGCAAATCCCGGGGATGAATGTGTGTATGCGGCCAGGGACCTCCTTGACCGGCCTGTCCCTTCTGCGGACAGCAGACACTCACAGGCCAGCTCTGAGGGGCCCACATACTCCATCACTTTAGGGCATGGCTGGGAGCTTATCGTTTAAAAACAAGAAAATCTTGCTGCTTCGAGGACACTGCTTAACACTGTTTATTTGACAGAGTGACCTCTCATACTCAACACAGTCCATGGAAATTGGAAATTGTCACAATTTAAATTTTTATTAAAAATCACAGTTTGAAAACAAGTCCAGCACTCTTCCAAAATGGATGAGGGATACTGCTGAACTGGTCGTGTGTGCCCTCTGGGAGGCTGGGGGATGAGAGTCCGGGGGTCACCCCGTGTGTTAAATTAAATCCACGCGGAGCTGCAGTCTGTGAACCGGTTGGTGCAACTGTGAAGTGACCATCCAACAAACAGAAGCCAGGCCGGTGACAGCAAGTGCGGGGAAGGGACACGCTCAGGTGAAAACCACAAGTGATTATTTTAACCACAGAATAGACACTTTCTGTTATGAAGACCTTTGATCCGCTTGGGTCAAGGTGCTCGTGGCCTCAGCAGGCAGTGGTGCTGGCCTGGCCAGGGCAAGCTGCCTGCCCACGATGCCCTTCGGTTCCCATGAAACAAGGACCAGAAGGTGGCAGCAAGTGGAGTGAGCCCAGTCCCTGTGAAGACGTGGCTAGAACCATGAGAAGGGCAGCAGGCATGTGACAATCAAGGACAGGCCGATGCCGGGACAAAGGCCCTGCCTTCCAAATCAACCCATTCATACCATAACCCCTCTCCAGTGGGGCTGCCTTTCCCTCCATGCCCTCCTCTGTAAACCCCGGAGAAAGGGCCTTCCACAGGACCCTTTCCACTAGAAAAGACTGGCACAGGGCCGCAGTGGGAATGCTACACACAGGGACCCCACCCCGGGGGCGGGCACAGGAGGGGGAGGCACAGGACAGCGGTGTGGCTGCTCCGGGCTGGGCTCCTGGGGAAGCCGGCCCCTCCTCTCTCTGGCCCACTCCTCTCCCTGGGGACAGGTTCTTCATCCCCAGGCTCCTGGGAGGGGCAGCAGCTGCGAGGGGGTGAGGGACCCGTCCCAGGGAGAAGCTGAATATGTGCTCAGATCCCCACAGCCTTCAGCCTTTCCGACAGCCACACCCTGGGACAGAAGAGGGAGGGCACAGCCTCTCTCAGAGGTCATCTCCGCCGTGTCCAGCCCTTCCTCTTATGATTCTGAATCTATCGCCTGGCCAGAGAGTTTGTCATTAATCTTTTTAACGCCCGGGTCTCTGAGTGCGTATTGCCACTGTTTTGTGTATCTGCTCAGCACACAGGGATCCTCTCTTTAACAAAACCATTAAACTACCAGGGAGCACAATTCTACAAGACATGATGGTTTTAAAAGTTTCTCAACAGAAGTTCTGCGAGCGAAGTCTCTGGCCAAGCAAGCAGCCAGCTGCGGATTTCCATGTGCCCAGCTCCCATTAGGAGTAGGGCCTCCGCTCCTGCTCGTGGGGGGCGCACCCTTTAAAATGTCTTAGGAAGAGCTGAAGACGAGAAGGTCTGGGCGTTGTGTCCTGACTGAAGACGGATGGCTGAGTAGCTCTGTTTCCAAGGGCCAAGCAAAACTGACTACCAACGGCCTGATGACCATCATAAGATCGAACATTAGTTAAGGATTAACTAAGACTAGGGGACTAGAAAATAATTGTTGGGTTTTTGTATTGTCAGCCCAAAATCACACTCAATAAAGCCTACCTGTGGGAGGTGCAGGATCTGTGACTTTATTATGAATTAACACTTTATTTAGAAACTCACCCTTACCTGCCCTGGGCCAGCAGGGTGGCCCCACCATGAATACAGAAAAAGGCAGGCGCTCAGGAGGCACCTTCTCCTCGGGGGAGGAGAAGCATGGGCCTGTCCTTGTCCTCCGTCCCGCTCGAGATGAAATGAGCCTGTTTCCTGCGGTCTCCATTCAGGTACAGTCCACAAGTAAGGACGGTCTTCAGAGTCCGCAGGAGGGCTTCAGCAGGTCAGCCAGCCAAGCCCATCCTTCTCGCAGGCGACACCTCTTGTGCAGACGCGGGCGTCCTGGCTCAGAGCGCACACAGCAAAAGCAGCATCCAGACGGTCCCCTTGACCTGGCTGCACCTTACAAAGGGCACTGGCAGAACCTGATTTTTCTAAGCCCCAAAGCACTTTACCATCGGAAAAGCTTTGCAGGGGCAGGGTGAGTCTCCCTCCCTCCTGCCCTCCCTCCACTGCAGGCATCACCTGTGGGTGTCACTGCCCCTGCAGACCCTTGACAGTGCAGGGCAAGTGAGCACTCAGTACCTCGTGGGCTGTCTCCAGACTGCAGGCCTCAGGTGCAGCCAGGAGCCAGAGGACTGGAAAGACAACAAGGAAATGTGGACACAGACCCTGAAAATAACCTGCGGTGAGAACCACACAGAGAAGCACGAAGGAATCCACAGTCCCTCTGACCCTGCTGTCCTTCTGTCTGTATCCCACGCTCTTTGGGGAGCGCTTGTTCTGCAGAGGGTAGTTCCAGGACAGGCTTTGGGGACCCACAGTCACGGGCATGTCCCCATGAGGCTGGCTCTCCCGATGGGGGAGGGAGATGGAGACTCAAAATCAATGCACTGTAATACGTTTGCCTGTGATGACTCTTCTGCTCACAGGTGGCCGCCAACAGGCGGGAGGTCTTAGTTCACCACGTCATAGTAGTAATTGCGCAGCCGCAGCTCCACCGCTGTGAACCCGGGCCTGCTCTCCACCCTGCAAGGGGAAGACTGGCGTTACTGCTGGTCCTGGAAGTGGCCAAGGGACGGGCGCAGCCAGGCCTTCGGAGGTCGGAGCGCATGTGCGCCCCTGGTGGCTTCCTCCAGAGCTGCGGCTCTCAGCCTGTCCCGCTCCCCAGCGCGGCTGACCAGGGCCTGTGTGAGTGTCAGGCCCAGCCCAGACCTACAGAACCCAACCTGCATTCTACAGGACCCCCAGGTGACTCGTGTCCACCTTGAAGATGGCGAAGCTTTGCACTCAAACTCCAGATCTTTTAACCCAGACACTGTCTCCTTGTGATCTAGTAAAACGGATGTGTCTGAGAGACTCAGGGGTCAGCACACTGCAGACATACCTCTAACGTTTGACTTCTAACCTCGTTAATAAAGTAAACATAGTTTAAACTTCCCTCCCCACACCCCAACTGGATGGCTCTGGATTTCTGAGCATGTGCTGTTGACAGGGGTTCTCTCGGAACTCGCGATCTGTCAGGAGGAGCTGAGAGGCGGGCCTCGCCTACCACACGCAGCACGGCACGGCCTGTGACGTAAGGACGGAAGCAAACGGTGGGGAAAAGCTGCCCACAACTTGCAATCTCTGAATGAACCTCGCAGACACCTCTGCTCTCTAACACAGGCACACTGAACGGGACCTGTTGCAAGCAAGCATTTCTTAAAATTCAAAGAATCTATCGTTGTTTGGAAATAAGTTTTCTTATTTTTGCAAGATTTTTGTCTATACTGCAAGAGGGTAAAATTGCCCAATAAGTGGAACAGAACATGAGGTTAAACTGAACTGTCCACATTCAACCTGTTTAGCAACAACTACGATTTTATGAGGTCCGGTGTAAGGCAGCAGTCAGGCGCATGCCTGGGGCCCCAGAATCACCGCCAACATAAGGGCACAGTGGTTCCTTCGGAGCTGGAATGGGCTGCCTTGTCACATGGCATCAAAATACAGCAAATCTTCAAATGGTCCTGTGACTTCAGGTGAAACCACATAGAACGAAACCAATTTGACCAGAGGCTAGTTGACATAAGCAGGAGTTAGGTTCCCGTGACATCTCATCACTATTATAACAAAGTGATGTTACTTAAGGACCTGCTGCAATGGCTGCACCTACAGCTGCAAGAGCAAGCGAACCCCCTGGTCGCGCCGGGGCCCCAGGCCTCATGTGGGGCCATGCCTCGGGCCACCAGGGGGTTCTTAGAGGGAAGTGATGGCCACGCCCAGGGCACACAGACACGTAGAAACCTGTGTCCACACAGACAGCCGCTCTGCTCCAAAGGAACTCAGGAAGTTCCGCCCCAGCGATGGGATCTGAATACACAAAGCGCACATCTGAACCTTGCTGGGGGCCTCACTCACCCAGAACTAAAGCTCCACGGACACTAAGGTAGAAAACCAGCAATACAGCGTGGACCTTGGGAGGGCCCGGTCAGGTGTCCCAGGGAACCTCTCCTTTACTACGCAGGGAAGGTTGCCGGGGGAACCTAGGATGGCCTCAAGCTTGGGCGGAGGAGGGTGACCCAGTGTCCTGCGGGTGCTGCTCCTGCCCAGCCAGGCCTGGAATGCGTTTCCCACGCCTCCCCTTGTGCCCAGACCACCCTCCTCCCCTCTCATTTCCCGATGCAAGCTCCCCTTCCTGCGTTTGTCAGGTGGAAGCCCCTTCATAAAGGGGCCAATATGGGCTCTAACGTAAGTGTGACCTCATAATCCTCTGTTCCCGTCATTGCTCCTTGTGGTGTGCTCGGTAGCGCCCCCCGCCTGTGCCATCACATGTTCATGTGGGTTAGTTTGTTTGCTGTGGGCCTAGGAGCAGCCAGCCCAGAACTGTGACCTCCATGAGGGGAGCGTCGGCTGGTGCCTGTGTGCAGACCTCAGGAAGTGGAAGGCAGTCAGCAGATGTCGGCGATCAGTCTGAAGGTGTGCCTGTATATGTCCTTCTGTCTAAATTTATTCATTATGTATCTATCCCACTTCCTTACTTACCCATCAATCCATTCATCCATCCATCATGCATTGATTTACTGATGTATCATCTGTCTACCTATTATCTATCTACCTATTTTCCATCCACCCATCCATCATCTATCAATCAATGTGTCTAACCATCCATCTGTCCATCCATCATTCACCCACCCTTCCTCTCTTCCATCCTTCCTTCCATCTATAGAAGGATCTATCTATCCATTTATCCCATCTTCTTACCTACCTAGCTATCTAAAAATCTATCACCTTGGTAAAGGTGGCTGACTGTTTGCATTGGAGGAAAGCTTGGAGGCTGAGCTGAGTGGGCTCTGGAAGCTCCGTGTGCTTCCACACCCCAGGCATCGACTTCATTTCCTTCTAGAATAAGCGCGTGCACAGGGAGGTCCTCACACGGACATGCAGCAGCCTCCCTGGCCCTGTGTCCTCTGGCTTTGAACTGCCATCGGGCTCGTCTTCTTCCAAGAACACACAGCAGAAGGCACTGATTTTATATCTATAGCTTGTCGTTTATTGCTGCTGGCCCTCCCTCCGCCCGAGGCTCCACAGGGGCAGGGCCTGGGGTCTCTGTGGGGTTTGCTGAGTTAGCGCCCAGGCAGCCAGACCAGCTCCTGTGCTTCTGAGTTCTCCTTGTCGGCCATGGCCCCCACATGTTTTGTGTTTTTTCCCCATTCAACTACGTATCATTTAGCTACAAACTTATATTTAGACAAAGTGTCTGACTGTGTCTCCCTGACTGGCCTCAACATCCCAGGTTATCGTAGAAAACTTTTAACCTTCAGAAATATAGCATGTTGAGAAAGAATCAAAGTTAGATAAGGAGCCCTCATTCCTAATTTTAGGCACGGGCCCCATCGCTATTTCACTATTTCTCCTCAGCTGACACTTGTCCTGTTGCTAATTCCTAGATGTCTATGTGGAACTCACTAGGCAGCATTCCCGAGGGGACCTGATGGGAAAGGTCACTGCCCCTGAACCTCACTCTGCTGCAACTTAAGTCTCCATCTGGGAAAACAACCTGAGAAACAATGTTGTCTCAAAGAGGAGTGTTCTGCCCAGCCCCAGCCCC